TTCCCTCATCTTAATTCCTAATAAGCCATTATTTTTAATTAGTTACAATGATAATCATTACATCTTTTCGTTTGGATTCCGCAACATATTTTCCCCCCTTAATTTTATTTCTAGTTTCAAAAGAAGTAAAAGGGAAAAAATTGACTATTCAATTTCTGGTCGCTGATATTGACCTCATTTTTAAACATCTTTACATCCATTTCAATTATTACAATTTCTTCAATAAACCTTAACTTTTTTTTTGAGAATAAAAATAAAGATATATATTCATCTAATAAGAATTATCAGTATCTATCCCTCCTTTAATAATCTATATTACCCTATTTTCTAAGTATTTTTTTTAATTGCAAATATATTCGTTACTCCTTGTCACCCTGCAGAATCCCTTTTTAATTCATCAATCATTATCTCTGAACAAACTATTTCTTTTCATCATTTTACTATTTCCGTAGTTCTTTATTTCATGCACCTGTTTCTTACTGCCTTTCCTCCCACTCTTTTCCCCCATATCTTTTCTCATTCCAGTTTATATCCCTCTCTTTCTTGATATCTTCCTTTTCCTTTTTCTGCTGGGTCTTTCTGCCTTTCCCGACTTCACAGGTATTCCCCTTTTTGACTACCTTCTTAAATCTCAACTTTTTAACCTTCCTTCTTTCCCTATTTCTTTGTAGTGTTCTTTGTGTTAATTGTCTATTTAAGATGGCTTCTCCTTGAATCGACTCCTCCTCCTCTGAAGCTCTTTCTTCTTGTTCTTCAATCACCATTTCCATTTCTTCTAACACAGATCAAAGTGATTCACCTCTTTCCTGTAGTAGTTTTCTCATATTTTTAAGTTCCATTTTTAATTCGTGAAGAGATATCATCATTACACACTCTTATATTTTATAATTGTTGAAGTCCACAAAAAAACACTTTTACTTTCCTTCTTTCTTCTTCCAGTTTTCTAAAGTTCTCAGTTGTTCCAGCCCAGGGTCTATACCAAAAACGTCGATCAATCCCACAATCAGTCTTTCCTTGCTTCTTTCTTTATTCTGGTTCAGCTTTCACTTTCTAAGATTCTTACTTTGCTTCAATATTTCTTTAACATTATATCAACACAAATACATACAGAAACAGGATGCTTTCCCTTTTGTTTGAGTTCAAGTTTTTGTCAGAAGATGGGACTCTCCGTTATACAAAGTCCTCACCTTTTTCCCCTGTTTTTTTATTTAGGGTTTTTCGAACCTCAATATTCCAGCACAATCCAGTCTCCAATTTGTAATTTTTATTATTATTATTTTTTGACAATCTTAAGTCCAGCTTTATTTTATACCTGTTTATTGCCGAAATATTTTGGTCCAATTTAATTAAGTCTTTAGTTCTGGCTTCTTCCTTTCCCGGTTCGAAGCCCCGCTTAGCTGTCAAAATTATTTTTTTATTTTTTTTCCTGTCCCTTTGTATTTCTGCCGCTCACTTTTCTTTTCTTAAAAGTTCAATGTTACCTTAATCCCGGGCTACTTTTTGTTTAGTTGTTTCATCCAATTGTCCCAGTTCAGATGTTATCCACATCTTTCTTCCCTCCTGCACAAATCTTAGTCCAGCTGAGTCCTCCTCTTCGGGGTGGCCATTTTAGACCACCGCTTCAGTCGTCTTTGGGGGGGAAAAGACCAAGCCCAGGAGGGGAGATGCGGCTCCCCTCAACCTGGCTTGCGGCTTCCCCTTACTCCACCGCCCCTCCAAGGCAGCTTCAGCTCCTAATCGCAATGATCGGGGCTCTCCGACGAAACAGCATGGACCATAGCCACGGACAGTCGCGATCTACAGTCCATCAGTGAGGAGGGCTCAACACGGAAGGCTGCTTTGTAAAAATTTAGACATCTTTAAACTTACCCTTTTGCAAGATGTCTTGCCTTCTTACAAATAAAGCCCTCAGCATCTGTTTTGTTGTAGTTCATAAAGCTTGACCTTTTTCTGAATTTTGATCATTAAAACTTCCCTTCCCCAACTATCTCAGAAAGATCTGCTGCCTCTCCCTTGCTGGGAAACAGGGACAATCTTATCGCTGAAAGCCTACACACAGATGACTGGTGTTTATAGTACAGAAGGGAAGGAAGGAAGCTTCCCTCTTCTGAAGGAGCCAACATGCCACTTCTCAATTCTTCAAGCCTTCCCAGGCTTAAAGATTGTCCTGCCAGTGCATGCAGATTAAAGTCCACTGCTCTTCCATAGCTATTGCAAAAAAGCAGAAGGGTAAAAGAAAGTTATGGGGCTATGCTGGGAATCCTCTATTGCTACCCACTTGGGGTAGAATACAGCAACCTACCGCCAGTTACAGAGAAATCCAGCATTGTTAGCCAATCTCCTAGTGTATTGGGTATCTTGCTTTAAAAAGAATGTAGGAGAGTGGGGTAGGGAGAAATTGTCTGCAGTAGAAATGAAATTTATTAAAGATTAACACACACACACACACACACTTTTTGGTACCTTTGAATCAGCTTTGATTATGGCCAACTGCCTGAATTAATCTTTTCCCTGTTTTTGGCAAGCGGCTTGCCCTTGTCTCCTTCCTAGGGTTGAGAGTGAGTGTCTGGCCCACAGTCACCCAGCTGGCTTTATGCCTAAGGCAGAATGAGAATTCAGTTTAGCCTCATGCCTTTACCACTAGACCAATCATTTATACGCTATCCAAAGACATTAAGCAATTCACACAACATTTTAACATTTAAGTGGGAAAAAAACTCAGAAGAAAGCAATGGTGGGTCACTTTCATAGCAGCATGTCCAAGTTGCTTATGCACAGGGGTGGGAGGGATGCTGCTGATATAATGCATCAACACAATGTAAAAGTCCTTACCTACTATGTTACTTTGGGGAAGTAACACAGCTGAGGAGTGGCTACCCGCTCTTCTGTGCTAATCAGCTGGGACAATAAAAGCCAGTAGTGTGCAGGGCTGGGGGGGGGGGCACATGATCGTTGCAGTGAACCGGTTTGGGGACAGCTGACCTTTGGAGCAACCGGTCCAAACTGGCAGAATCCCACCCCTGCTTATGCAGTTCATCAGTAGTTGAGTTCAACTGGATTCTCTTTTAATCCAATAACAATTGAGTGTCATCAAGCAAGCTTTGGTTGAAGATACCAGACAATATAAGGAGGTGCTGCTTTCTAGTCATAGTTGCTCTTGTAAACTAGTAGCCACAAGCACAGGTGGGTCAGAGGAACTGACCAGGATTGCACTATGTGCTACCTGCCAAGCACTACAGATACCTTTTTTCAAACCCTGCAGGAATTTTTGTACCCTTTTTTAAATCTTTTGTATGTTTTTCTCATTTCTCAGGTTTGATATGCTTATAAAACGACATTAGATCCTTATGGTTCTGAACTTGGTTAGTTGGGAAAGAAATTCCAGGTTGTTTCCCATAAGTGATTCACTCTTGTTACCCATTTTGGGTTATTCTTTGAATTAATATAATTTAAGTAATTATATAGGCATTACTCTATTGTTTATGAAATGTAATTGATCATACATAATAGATATGTATAACTGAATTGGTGAAATTATGTATTAAATAGCATGTGCTTCTTACTGCTAAAAATAGTAGGGCAGATAGGCTTACTAAAGGCCATCTTGAATTCAGCCATATTTTTTTGTGTAGTCCAATCACAAAAACTTTCACATAGGCAAATTCATGAAATTTGGGAGTTGTGATGACCCAGGGTGGGATACAAAATAAACACAGTCACAAAAATCAGGTGAATCCCCTTTTATTCCTTCACTTTGCTTCCAAGCTCCAAATATCCTTGATTGGAGACAAAAGAAACTCCCACACAAGCAGTTACAAGAAGGAGGAAATGCCGTTTAAATTATAAAACACAAACCAGGCAAGATAAGAGCTTGAAGATGTCTACAGATATCAGAACACACACTAGGAAGGACACCAAACTCAGAGAGGAACAATAAACTTGAGATATTTCCACGCTTTGTTTCCAGCACTGGCCCGTACCGCATGTCCGTCCTCTTATCCAGTTGTCACAGCTGCAGCCCATGAAGAGGATCAAGGCCCTCTCCTCCCCCATAGGCCACATCTCTCCCTTATCCTCTCCTCCCTGTGTGCCCTCGGATGGAGAGGGGATGGGCCTGGGTCCTCCTTTGACTGCCCAACCGGCCTCTGCCCTTCCCCAGCCTCCTCCACAACTTCTGGAGCCATACTTCCACTCCCTGTTGGCTGTTTCTCCTCTCCCTCGGAGTCAGCCTCCATCAGGGGCATGACAGGAGTGTTGGGGAAGCTGTTTGTCTCTTTGGCCACCTTGGAGAATTTCTTTCTATTATTTGGAAGTCAAACAACTCTTTTATGAATAACAATAAAAAACAGGAACCTAAGAGAAAGTCTTGAATCAGAAATATTATTCATGACAGGAAAACATGGAACACATTAAAGCAACATGAGCTGCTCTGGAGGGGCATTGAAACAGAACTAAGTGAATTTCCAGAGTTTTTTGTTGTTGTTGTTGTTGTTGTTGTTTTGGGGGTAGGGAGAAAGGGAAATGCTTTGAGACATTTGAGCAAATGGTTCTCGACTATTCTAAGGCATCTTCTAGAAGAAGGCCCCGTCAGTATCCCGGCAAGCTTCTGTATCGTAAAGGGGGATCTTAATTCTTGTTCTGTCTTACCTGAAAGAGCCTTTTCCCAAGGGACTCTGTCCTGGGCCCAATTTTCCTTGTCCTGAATTCTGTGCTGTGTTCTGACCTCACTGTAGAACATGAAAGAGCCAGGGCCGCCATCGCCCCCTGCAGAAGGAAGGGTGCCCTTCCAGCAGAAAATCCGGGGAGCCTAGGAGCCCCTTTTGCTAAGAGCAGGTCTGGAAGCAGTCAGTATTGAGGTAACAGGGATAGGAGTTTTGTTTCAATGTCAAGTAAGTTGCCTTGTTTTTAAAGTCAGGATGCTGTTTAGAGTTACAAGTATCAATGTCACTATTTTAGTAAGATATGTTTTTAATAATGTAATGCCCTTCATTAAATTCCAGGTTCAAGAATGGTTATGCTTAAACTGCCAAACTCAGAGGGCGCTATCAGGACAACTTGGGGATATAGAGAACGTCACACCTCCCGTGTTTCCAAAATCCTCAGTCAGACCATCAAGTCCTGCCCTTCGAAGTCGGTCCAAGGCTGCTGAGTTGCATCAACAACAACAACAGATTTCAGCAAAACCTGCCCTGGGGTCTGAAAAGTTAAAGACAGGTTCAGAAATTCAGAAAGAGGATCCAAAGGTAAAGAAGGAGACACTTTTAACAAAGACGTTTACTGGTAGGATCCAAGAAGAAATTTTTAAAATTGACATTTCAAAGCTTTCACCAGGAAAATTAGCAAAAACAACATCTGCTGATAAAATCATTCAAGGAATTTCAAAAGAAGATTCAAAAGCAGACAAGGAAAAATTGGGAAAATCATCATCTGCTGATCCAATTCTTAAAAAAGAATCAACATTGGCTACAATTGATAAGGGTTCGCATGATAAGATAAACATGGAACATGCGGAAAGACCTCTATCTGAAGACTCAAAATATCAGTCGGTAAAACTAGCCAGGGAGGAAAGTCAGAAGGAAGATCCAGCCACTCAAGTCAAATTGCCACGTGCTGATCAGAGTCAGGTGGACAGGGTGACCTTGGGAAAAATACCATCGGCTGATAAAATCCTGCAAGATGTTCAAAAGCCAGACCCAAAGATTTATCAAGACAAAATGACAAAGGTAGCCTCAGATGGCGAAATTGTGAAAGTTGAACCAAAATTTCAGCAGGCGAAATTGGCCAGAATACTATCCTCTGATCAAATTCAGAAAGAAGATTCAAAACGAATTCCAGCAAAAATAATGAAAACGGCCTCTGTGGATCAGCTTTTAAAAGACACTGTGAAATTTAAGGAACTAAAAGAAGTGAAATTGCCCCGGGAGGAACCAAAGTCTTCCAAGACAAGTAGCGGCCAAAGACCACCATCAGAAGCCTCAGACCCCCTCCCCAGAATCGAACACGTACCAGGACCAGAGCAAGCGCTTAAAGAAAAGCCAGAAGCTGAAATGCACCTAGAAATAAAACAGCAGGAAGATCATCCCATGATATCAGAAACCACTTCAAAAGCTCATAAACTACCGGAGAAAAACCTTTCAGATTTACCTGTGTCATTGCCAGAATCTTATCCTGTGGAGTCAGTGAGAGAAAAAACAGTAAGTGCTTGACATTCCTCTCTTGTTAGGAATTGACAAAATCTATTTCTATGTCATGCCAGAAAAATTACTTGGAGATATTCATAGAAGCTATGCTTGATTGAAGGGGGTAATTTACAGCAGGGGGCAGCACTTAGTGAACCTTGGCTAATCTTGAAAAAAATAAGAGTTAGATATGGTTAGTTCCTGTATATAATCAAAGAGCAAGCCCTACTCTCCTGCAGCACTGATGATGTTACCTAGTTGGGTAACGAAATGTCTGCAAGGAAACAAGCAAGTTCAGAGAGCCCTAAGGACATACAGTTCAACCCTGAGCTATAAATATTCTATTGGTACTTCAAAACAGAACTCTGCTGGCAATTTCTCACATATGCTGACCTAAATTTAAGTATAACTTCTGCCAAGTGACACTATTTTTATTTTGTAAACAGCCAGATGAAATGTAATAATTAAATAGTTCTGCTTCTCCCTGTTATTTTTTTTTTACCTATAGCCAATGTCTCCAAATCACAAACTTTCCTTTTGTTCCACACAACCTTCTCTGTTGTTAATTTTGGTGTTTATTGCAACCCTCAGCAAATCCTCAGCCTTATCTGTAGACTTGGACTATTTTCTAACATTATGCATATGTTATATGCTTTTTTTCCCTTTGTAATGCCCATTCTTTTTGTTTCACGGCTTATCAGAGAACTCTGTGCTAGTTTCATCTCCTACTTTATTTTCTCTGTAGTGTTGTCTGTATTTGGGCTGTGATTGTCTTACTTTTGAGGCTTTCCCCAGGTTCCTTAATATTTTTCTGGGAAGGATTTTCATTCATGGAATCCTTACTGCTTTTCCCTGATTAAAGCCAGCTATTCTAAGATTCAGAAGGCTAACTTGTGATGAGCCAGAGGCTTGAAGGACTTCACCTGACAACCAGCAGGCAGCCTGGAATAAGTCAGTGACATATTTAGGGTTGCATTGGATTGTTCTACATACTTATTACCATTTTATTGTTATAATATTTTGTTTTAAAGTAATTCAAACTATATTAAACTGAACCCACAGTAAATTTAAAGATTGAAATAGTTTTGACCTTGACTCTTCTACATGCAGTTTATCTTCACTGAAAAGTGTTGTTTTTATCAGAGATGTTTGTAATGTTATGCAACCTGAATTTTTCTCTTGACTGAATGCGCACTGAAATATTCTTATACTACCTGTTAAATCTAAATAAGATGCTATTCCCATTAAGTATAGAGCCACACTTTAATGATATTGAGAATAAGTTATTTTCTATTTAATTAGGGAAAATGTAAGTCGTGGTATTTTATATTGCTTAAATGCAAAATAAAAAGTTCTAGCTTAACCAAAATTTGTTACTCACAATGCTTTCTCAAAGTTTTCACAATTACAGTAATACTGGTTGATGAATTTATTATTATCTTGAAAAGATAAGTCTTAATATGTATCTATATGTTTATATATGTTTTAGGAAAAAGAAGATGACAAATCAGATATATCAAGTTCTCAGCAGCCCAAAAGCCCTCAAGGCCTGAGTGATACAGGATATTCCTCCGACGGCGTCTCGAGTTCCCTTGGTGAAATTCCAAGCCTCCTTCAGGCAGAAGAAAAGGACGCCTTGTTGAAAGAGTCTTTTGAGAAAGAGTCTCCGTCGCAAGGGGGCAGCCCAGCTAGCCCCTCTGACCTGGCTAAGCTGGAAAGCACCGTCTTGTCAATTCTGGAAGCTCAAGTCACAAGCCTCGTGGAAGGGAAGTCTGGGAGAACCAGAGAGGTTTCTGCTGAGCAGACCAGGGCCTCCCGGGAAGCAGCCCTCTTGCCTGTCACCTCAGAGCCCTTCTGCTCCGAGGAAGAAGGCTTGAGGAAACCGGAGGTTCGAGGTGAAGGAGACCCTGAGCAAGGCAGTAGAGAAACATTGCCCCCTCAGAAAGGGCCCAAGCAGGCAGCAGGAGGGGCAGAGAGTGCACCAACCAGAAGGCAGCGCTGTGACTCTGTGGAAGACAGCAGTGAGAGCGAAAACTCTCCTGTGCCACGAAGGAGGAGGCGGAGGCAGGCCAGTGCTGGCTCCTCCAGCAGTGATGACGAAGGCAAAGTAGAAGACAGTCCGGGTTCAGGTGATGATGAGGATTTCATTCGGAAGCAAATCATGGAAATGAGCGCTGACGAAGATGCTTCCGGTTCCGAAGATGAAGAATACATCAGGAAACAGTTAAAAGAAATCAGTGCAAATGAGACCCAGAAGAAGGAAGAAGTTAAGATCAAAAAGGGAATGGCTGGAAAACATAAGAGGGTGTCACGTAAAAGCACTGCAGGCTATGAAGAGGATTCCGGAAGGCGCCATTCCTGGCATGACGATGATGACGATGAAGATGAAGACGAGGCTTTTGATGAAAGCCCAGAACCAAAATATAGGGAGACGAAAAGTCAAGAGAGTGAAGAAATTTCCGGGGGAGGAGGCCTTCGCCGCTTCAAAACAATAGAACTTAACAGCACAATCACAAACAAGTTTTCTGAAGGGTCAGAAACACCAAAGAGATGTTTATACTTTGATGAAGAGCCAGAATTAGAAATGGAGAGCCTTACTGATTCACCAGAGGACAGATCACGGGGAGAAGGATCTTCCAGTCTGCATGCCTCCAGCTTCACCCCAGGTACATCTCCTACCTCTGTTTCGTCCTTCGATGAAGACAGCGACAGCAGCCCCAGTCACAAAAAAATGGGGGGAGAAACCAAGCAGCAGCGTAAAGCCAGACATCGGACACACGGGCCTCTCCTCCCGACGATTGAAGATTCTTCCGAGGAAGAGGAACTCAGGGAGGAGGAAGAGTTGCTGAAGGAGCAGGAGAAGCAGCGCGAACTGGAGCAGCAGCAAAGGAAGAGCTCCAGCAAGAAGTCTAAGAAAGACAAAGATGAGCTCAGAGCCCAGAGAAGGAGAGAGCGACCAAAAACACCCCCCAGTAACCTTTCTCCAATCGAGGATGCTTCCCCAACTGAGGAACTGCGTCAGGCGGCAGAAATGGAGGAACTGCATCGATCTTCCTGCTCTGAATATTCGCCAAGTATTGAATCTGACCCTGAAGCTTTTGAAATCAGTCCAGAAAAAATAATAGAAGTGCAGAAGGTTTATAAGTTGCCCACGGCTGTCTCCCTCTATTCCCCCACAGAAGAGCAGCCCCTTGGAATGGCCAAGCAAGGGAGCAATCGGAAGATTTTGAAAAGTGCAGAGGAGGTATATGAAGAGATGTTGCAGGTGTCTCAGGTGGCCAAGCCTCTTCCAGGTGAAAGCGAAAGGGAGGAGGTGTTCGAGAAGGAGCCTTTGTATGGTGGCATGCTCATAGAAGACTATATCTATGAGTCGTTAGTAGAGGGTGCGTATAGTGGGGACTCCAACATCATTTCAAAACAAGAAGAGTGTGAGGAATTTAGCCAAGAGGAAGAGCAAAAAAACCCTCCGGAGCAAATCTCTGAAGAACCTATGCAAAAACCCACTGATTTACAAGACACCTATTATAGGATAGAGCTTTTGCATTCAATTATGCCTCAAGAAGACATTGTCTCCAGTTCTTACATCATGCCAGAAAGTCACGAAATCGTTGTCCTGGACAGTGTTGCACCATCTTCGAGTGAGGATAAGCAGCTGCTAGAGGTAGGCATGGTTTATGAAGAGCTGATGAAGCAGCAGGGAGTACAGCTGACCCCGGGCTCCAGCCCTACCCAGTCATCCCCTGAGTTCATGTCTGTCACCAAGAGGAGCCTGTCTGGAGAAGCAGGAGATAGTAATTCCCTAGTTTCGAGCACTTCTTCAGCAGTTTCAGAATCAACGTCAGCAAGCCCTGTAGTGCTGCCCATTCCAGATGTTAAAATTACCCAGCACTTCACAGTTGAAGAAAAAGAGGGTAACTATTTTACTGATTATGTCCATGAGGTGGAAGAAATTATTCCCCAGGAAACATCCATGCTGGCATACTCGGAGGCCTTAGAAAGCACCACCCCTATTTTCCCATCGGATGCATGTTCACTCACATCCTCTACATCTTCTGTTTACACCACTGGCACCCCTTCACCTGTAGCTGGACCAGATGGCATCACTACCATCTGTAGAGATTCAGTAGATGCTCTTGGTGGACTGCCAGATTCAGAAGGGGTCGTTTCAATGGCACTGGCTACTACAATTTCCCCAGTTGAGGACTATGAACCTCTGGTGTTGCCCCCCAAGAAGGCACCCATAGCCAAAGATGAGGGGCCAGTTACCTTTCCAGAAACTGACTCCTTTGCACCCACTTCTGTGGAAACAAAATTCACAAGTGTTCTCCCTGCTGCCTTGGCAGAAGATGGCAAAGCTGGAAGAGACATGGCACAGTTTAATGAAGTGAAGAGACTTTCTGAAGATGATTATTCAAGGATTTCCATTAACGTGGCAGGAGTAGATGCTGTATCTGACCAAGGGTTTATCTGCGTAGTTCCTTTATGTACTGTTTCTTCTGATATTCCTGCATCTGAAACTTCTCCAGCTTCTGTTGCTGGTTCCCAAACATTCTCGTTTTGGGAAAGATCTCTTGTTCAACCCTCCCTGCCATATGCTCCTCCTCCACCCCCACCTCCCCCACCCCCCCCACCCATTCTGCCAAAGCCAGCCATTTATCCTAAAAAGAAGCCACCAGTTAAAACTGCAGTGACCACAGTTCCCACCATGATACCCTCCATCAGTCCTGTCAAAGCAGCAGAGACCTCTGCTATGCAAACTCATGTGTCTCCTGTCACTAAAACATGCGCCCTGACCCCACCCCCCGTCCCCCCTAAGCCAGCATCAATTCCAGCAGGGCTTGTATTCACGCATAGACCTTCTGAAATAATAAAGCCTCCTATTGCTCCTAAACCAGCCGTTCCCCAGCTACCAGTGGCTGTTCATAAACCAACAGAAACACAGTCCAAGCCAGCAGGTCTGCCTTTTACCAGCTCCATGACTTTGAGCTTGGTTTCCCCTGCTGAATACAAATTGACCTCTCCCACCTCCCCGTCATCTCCACATTCTAATAAATCCTCCCCGAGGTTATCCAAACCCCCTCAGGAAACCTATGTTGTTATCACATTGCCCTCTGAGCCCGGGACTCCAATCGGATCCATTACCAGCCAAGCCACCAGCAGTTGGCCTGGGGGTTCACTCCCTAAGGAACAAGCTCCAGAGGCTGCACAGACATTATTCATGCCGCCTGTAAGTTTGCTGCAAATGCATAGTACAACAGATCAAAGCAAGAGTATCCCAGATGCTTTGAATGCTGTTCCTTCTATCCCTTTTCCTACTACTGTACAGCCAATTTTTGGCATGGTGCCTAAGTCCACCACAGAACTAATAACAACAGAGATTGCAAGGACTGCTGTGTCTTTGGTAAAAAACGCCGGGTTAGACAGTGTTTCCATAACGATACCCCCAGACACAGGACCTGCGGTGGAGAGAACTAAGTACAGAGAAAACGGAAGGACCCGTGTCTTTGGTGATGTCATGGATCTCCGTACCTTGACTAAGACTAGCACTGATAGAACAGATAGCTGTATGGACCTATCTGCTACTCCCGCAGATGTGAGAAGACAGACAATGGCAGGTGACCCTTCTGGGCAGTGGGTAAGCACCGTTCAGCCAGGGATCATCAACCTTAGTTCTGTGTCCATGGTCAGCCTCTCTTTAGCTCCAGTGGCCGATGCTGTTTCAGTGGTGACCTGTGCATCTACTCTCGGTTATAGTGCAAGCATAGAAAGCCTCATAGACCTTGGGCATGGGATGTCAACTCCACTTCAGTTGACAACATTAAAGCCTTTGGGACCTGGTCCTGGAATAACAGGAAGCCAGGCCCTCTTTGCAGGCAGAGAAGACGCTCCGATCAACCTCTCCCTGGGTATGCCCTCATCGGGCCTTGCCTGGGCCACTACAAAGCCTGCAACCGCACCTCTGGTTGGGGTAACCAGTGATTGCTTTCATGCTTCTGCTGCTCACAAAGATCTGGACAGTGGTGTGGTTGACCTGAGCACTACAAAATCCTACAGAACGATGGTGACCGTTGATGGAACAACTTCAGGATTTTTTACCACCGTAATAGAAGACGATGAAAAACCTGTAGATTTGACCTCAGGGAAAAGGGCCGTTTGTTGTGACGTGATTTACAAATTGCCGTTTGGGAGGAGCTGCACCACTCAAGCCCCAGCAACTGCCCTCCCGGAAGATCGTTTTGGCTACAGGGATGACCACTACCAGTACGAGCACTCTGGGTCCTCTGCCTTCAGGGGAGCTGGGGGCATGAAGCCCTCCATGTCAGACACCAATTTGTCCGAGGCTGGGCTCTACCCGTACAAAAGCAAGGACGCCTTTGAGCACCAGGTCGGGCCGGCTGATCTAGCGGTAGACTTGACTTCTGGCAGAGTCACTACAGGTCAGTATGACAAGACGCCGGACTTTTCTTGGAAACTTAGTAACAATGTTGCTCACCTCATTTCAGGATGATTTTTGCCTCTTTTTTTTTGGTTGCCTTTCCCCCTTTCATTAGGCTTTACGTTCAAAAGTATGGCAAATTTTGTTGGAATTTATCCATGTATTTTTATTTTCCAATTTTTGTCAGTTGTTTTGTGGAAAGAGGTACCTGCATGCTCAGAAAATGTTCTTTTTTTCTTCCTGTCCTGCCCAATAAAATGTTGAAGATTTGCATGCAGCTCTTTCCTGCTTTATTGCTCATATTTATCACTCATCTCTATAGGCTGCCTTTCAGAATCCACACCAGAATTAAAGATGGTGTTTTGGGGGACTGGACTATAACTTTCCCCTATAATTTCAGGTGAAATTTTGGATTATTCAAGCAAGATTTCTGATCCATATCCAGAGAGCCAGCATGTGATTTCGGGCATTAGTGCACCTCAGTATTCCCAAGCGAGAATGGTCTCCTCCTTAGGAGCCCCCTATGGAAGTGTGTTGAAATCCTCTAACGGGGTGGTTTATTCCTCGGTGGCAGCTCCCATCCCATCCACGTTCGCTATCACCACCCAGCCTGGCTCTATTTTCAGCACTTCCATCCGAGACCTGCCTTCTCTTCATGCTATTGATTCAGTGCCTTCCTTGTCAAACTTGCCACAGAGCCAGGCACTCCCAAGGTCATTGCAATTTTTGACAACCGTAGCTTCTAAAAAAGACACTTCCGTTGTTGGCATTGACCCAGGGATACAGCCTCTCCCTCTAGAAACTATTGCCGCTGAGCCAACACTGCCTGTCTTTAGTACAGCTTCTGAAGCCTTCCTCGGTGGAATTGAAGAGGAAGGAATGGTTCTCATTGACCCCGAAGAAGACAAGCAACAGCATCTGGACATAGAACGTGAGCTGCTAGAGCTTGAAAAACTGAAGCAGCAGCGCTTTGCAGAAGAGCTAGAATGGGAACGGCAAGAGATACAGAGGTTCAGAGAACAAGAGCAATTCATGGTTCAAAAGAAGCTCGAGGAACTGCACTCCATGAAGCACCATCTTCTCTACCAGCAGGAAGAAGAGAGGCAGGCTCAGTTCATGATGAGACAAGAATCATTGGCTCAGCAGCAGCTACATATTGAACAGATCCAACAACTTCAACAGCAGCTTCACCAGCACTTAGAAGAGCAGAAAATCCACCAGATGTATCAGTATAATTACGATCCTTCTGAAATGGTGTCCCCAAAAACCACCACAGATCAAGTCCTCGATGGCCAGTACACTGCAAGCAACCAGTTCTGGCCTGGTGAGGAGGTGATTGCCACTACCTCAGCTCTCCTGGGGATAGAACTTCCAGACAACCAAGGCTGGTATGCTGTCCAGTCGGATGGTGTGGCTCAGTACGTTCCCAAGCCAGGGACATTAAGTTCTGTTTCTGAGCTCTCTCTGAAAGACGTGGATGCGAGTGAGGAAAAACAACTAAAAAAGAAGAGTTCCACATCAAAGCTGCACGGCCTTTATGGGGAACACGACGAAGGCACGGAAGGGGAACCCAGGGGTCTTAAAAAGATCATGGAGAGTGGCGTCCAAACGGATGATGAGGATAATGTGGACTTAGGCTATGCAGACAGGAGACGCAGAACCAAAAAGAGCGTTGACACAAGCGTTCAGACGGATGATGAGGACCAAGAAGAATGGGATCCCTCCAACAGATCAAGAAGAAAGACCCGTGTAGGGAAATATGAAGGGAGCATGGAAGTGGATGAGGCCAAAGCCTTCTCCAAGGTCTCCAGTGTTGCGGTGCAGACCGTGGCAGAGATATCTGTCCAAACGGAACCTGTTGGAACGATAAGGACGCCATCGGTCAGGGCCCAGTTAGATGCAAAGATAGAAATAGTCAAACACATTTCAGCTCCAGAAAAGTCGTACAAAGGAGGAAGTTTGGGATGCCAGACAGAAACAGATTCAGACACCCAGAGTCCCCCGTATCACAAAGCCACTTCCCCTCAGAAAGATAAAAAGCGCCCAACGCCATTAGAAATAGGCTATTCGTCCCACCTTCATCCTGAAAATGCCCTTCAGGCAGTTCCTTCTGCTCCCAAGTCTCCCAAAGTCCTCTATTCTCCCATTTCACCTGTTTCTCCAGCTGCAGCCATGGAGTCGGCCTTTGTGCCTTATGAGAAGCTGATGGCTGAAGACACTGGCTCTCAGGACACTCTCCATGCCGACGTGCCCACCACTCCTCAGCTGAGCCCAGAGTCTGCCAAGAGCATCCAGCGCTCTTTGTCCGACCCGAAGCCTCTCAGCCCCACGGCTGAAGATCTCCTCTCCAGAGCTCATTTCCAGTACACAGACGGCTTCCTGGTAAGAACTCTTTCCTCACGCCTTGAATTGTCACGCTGTACGGTACGGTAACAAGCTTTGCTTTGTTAACTGGCTGGAGTAGATGAAATGTTTAGTGGACAATTTTGGAAACAAAGGTCTGTCATGTTAGAAACCAGGATAAGTTTATTTTAAAAACAGAATTAATAGTGCAAGAAATATGCTATTGATGTTTCACTGGAGAAAGAGATGGTCTTGAATTGGAGCATCTAATTGCACTATCTACTTTATTTAAAGTTGGAAAGAGATATAGTTCATTCTTTACAGAATTAACATCAACATTTTTCTTTGTACATTTGGTCTATTTTTAAAAACGTAAAGGTATTCACATCACAAGGACAGCCTTGTACATACACTAGCCTTTTTCTTTCTAAGTTTTTTCTCCTCTCTGTGTACAGTAAAGGGGTTGTAATGAAGTCCAGTGCCTTAAACACATGGAATATATGGAGCTTGTCTACTGTATTTGCAGAAAAGATGAGTTGCCAATGATTTGCTCAATATCAGTCTTGTTGGTTTTTTATATTCTGCTTCTCCAAGAAAGTTAAGTTGGGTCCAGTTGAGTTCATCCTATGAGCTAAAAATCACCATAATCAGAAATATTTTGGAGGTCATTGTGAAGGATATCCTTGGTACCTGGCAGGCAATGTCACTCAGATCTGCTCCAGGGACAGGTCCAGTGGAGTCTGGTATGGATTTCTGGAGTGAGTTTCCACTCCGGTGGAAGGGGATCAGGTGCTCCAGATTGTAAGCTCAGCCATCCCTTGTTAGAATCAGGTGGATCAAGGCCACGTGGGAGGTGAAGTGTCCATGGGATCCATGCAGCGATTTCTGCTTCTTTGTGTGGGGCCTCAAAGCCCCCTGGCCTTGAAAGAGAAGAAGCTCCTTAAGAGATCCTTAAGTAATGGGTTGCTATCCAGGCTCCAAACTTTCATATTCAGGGTTGCTGAGTGGGTAGCTACTGAAGTCTATAGTCCTCTATTTTGTTTATTTATTCATCTATGAATAAATAATTTTTATTTAGACAGTATGTGTAACAGAAAAGCTAGGAAAAAAACCAATAAAAATTGCTTGATTTTTCTGTCCATCTAGAAATCCAGAGTGACTGGATGGTATTTGCTGGGAAATTATTGATGAAACTCTGGCACAGATGATACATTTCTTGTGTATCTCCAGTGTTGAAAGTTGAATATGGGACTTGCCACAATTGAGAAATATTTACATCTATGAAACAATCATTACTTTCCGATGAAAATATATACTCTTGTATAATGGTTTGCTGCAGTGTGACGATATGAGGACAGAACCCATCTAATTTGTATTTGACAAATTAGTTTTATTTAACTAATATGGGCAAAATTCATTCTGTATTTCAAACAAATCAATTTGATTCAAACTAATATGTAGTTTTAAACGTATTTGTTCCCCCCCAATTTTGTAATATAATTCTCAGCCTATACTCCAGAAGGGGTTTTTAATCCCAAAAAATTGTGTGCATTTTTTAAAATCATAAATACTAAAAATAGAATACAGTAGACACAAAAATATACATATGAGGAACTATTAAAAGCCAATAAGCAATAAAAAGGTATTAGAAACAGGGGTTATTTGCAGCGATAAAGTCTAGGCTGGTCTAGCGAATGGTATTGGGGTAAACTATTTACAGCTCCATTTTCATTTTCTTATGTCAGGCATTTAATTATTTTAAACTATTATTTTGGCTTAGCGGTTTTCTCCCTTTTTTGTGTTTTGGTTAACATTACTTATCTTCAAAGGGAGTTGTATGTAAGATAAAAACCAGAATGGACTATTCCCGCTAGACATGGTTTCTAGAATGTGTGAATTGAAGGTAGGTAAGGCATATTCCTGTCACTCAGGGGAAGTGTTCCTTCACCAATATTGCCTAGTGCTAATCTTCTCTCTATTGTTCCACTTCTAGTGTATATGCTCAAATTTTTGTAGACATCAATGCTTTTGCCAGTCGAATGGAGTAGGCAAAGCTACACTTTTCCATGGCGCCCAATTTGCACAAGAATCTTTTGTTTTGATAGGATTGCTGCAGGCCTAAAATATTACATATGATCAGGTCATGAATTGATTCTGCTGTCCCACAGATGTCTCCTAATCCAGTTTCTTGTTCCCAGCAGTGGGGCAAGGCATTGTTCAATAAATCCCCAAAGAGTCTTTTCATTGAGCTGACTCTCTAGTTCCCGATACAAAGACGCTGCCTCCGGCATGGCAAGTCAATTTTGCTTAATGGGTAAAAGAAACCAATAGACCCCTTCTTTATGAATTTTATTGATTCACTTTTAAAACTGTCTAGATAACAATGACACACACTTTATTCTTTAATACTGAGCTCCATAAGAGCTCAGTAAATTGTGTTACATATTTTGAAATACTTGCTGGGTGACACGTTGTGCTCTCTGTTTCCAAAACAACGTGTCTTCTCTGTTTGTGTGTGTGTATGTGTGTGTGTGTGTGTGTGTGCAGCAAGCCAAAGACCCTTCGGGTGCCACAGTGCCATCAGGACTTCAGAAGAAGGTCAAGCGGACACTTCCCAACCCGCCTCCCGAGGACCTTTCAGTAGGGACACAGCCGGCCTTCTCCACAGTGGGGTCAGTTTCACGCCGGAGGATATGCAGAAGCAACACAATGGCCAGGGCTAAAATCCTCCAGGATATAGACAGAGAACTAGATTTGGTAGAAAGAGAGTCTGCCAAGCTTCGCAAAAAACAAGCAGAGCTTGATGAGGAAGAAAAAGAAATAGATGCAAAACTCCGGTATCTGGAAATGGGCATAAACCGACGCAAGGAAGCCCTGCTTAAGGAAAGAGAGAAGCGAGAGAGGGCCTACTTGCAAGGGGTAGCAGAGGAACGCGATTATATGTCCGACAGCGAGGTCAGCAGCACCCGGCCGGCCAGGGCAGAATCCCAGCACGGCCTGGAAAGACCAAGGACTGCGCCCCAAACAGAATTCAACCAATTCATACCCCCCCAGACGCAACCGGAAACTCAGTTTGCCACTCCTACGAGTCCTTACACGCAGTATCAGTACTCTTCCCCTGCCCTTCCTACTCAGGCACCCACTCCCTATACACAGCCATCCCATTACCAGCAGTCACAACCTTTATATCAACAACAGGTTTCGCCCTACCAGACCCAGACCGTGGTGCCCGTCTCCTTCCCTCCCCAGGCCCAGCCCCCACCAACTTTACAGCCTTCCTACCAGCTCTCCTCTCCATTGATGATGATCCCACAAAAGGCGAGGCAAACCTCATTATACATGGAACCCAAGATAACCACAAACTATGACGTCATCCGCACTCCGTCTCTCATGATGGCGCCTGCGTCCTCTGACAATGCCTACTCGATGGGTCACCTGGGCAGCAAGTATAGCACTTTGGATTTGAGGCTGGGGCTGGATGAGAGGAGCAGCATGGCCAGCAGCCCCATCTCCAGCACCTCTGGTGACTCCTTCTATGTGGACCTGGAGCACCACAGCACACATGGCTACGTGCTGCTGGATGATATGGGGGAGCTCACTAAAGAAGCAGCAACCCTGAGCTCTGCCTATGGGCTGCACGAAAAGGATCTTGGCAAAGCTGATAGGCTCCTTCGGACCACCGGAGAGGCCCGGAGAGTGCAAGAGGTCCCCGATTTCCTCTCATCCCTGCAAACGTCTTCCAGGTTGCCCAGCTACATGAAGACCGAGGAAGACTCCATGGAGGATCCCTATGAACTGAAACTTCTGAAACATCAGATCAAGCAGGAGTTCCGAAGGGGCGTAGAGAGCGTGGGTCACTTGGCTGGCCTCTCCCACTATTATCATGCAGATACGAACTACAGACATTTCCCCAAGTCTGAGAAATACAGCATAAGCAGGCTCACTCTAGAAAAGCAAGCTGCCAAGCAGCTTCCGGCAGCCCTTCTTTATCAGAAGCAATCCAAACATAAAAAGGCTTTGATGGATCCCAAATTGTCTAAATTTTCACCCATCCAGGAAAGCAGAGACCTGGAGCTTGACTATTCAGCTTATTTGGCTTCCAACACCTCCTCAGTTGGGAGCATCCCCTCCAAAGCAAAACTTCTCCAAGATGACCTAACTTTTGGCCTTCGGAAAAATATGATAGACCAGCAGAAGTACATTGCTCCCACTTTGTCTCATTCCCTGGGAACGAGCCTTGGGGCAGCGCTGAGTGTCACCATGAGGTCAGCTTTACAGGATGAGGTGGACAAATCTTATGCCAGCGCCACCAGATCTAGACCATCCTCAAGACCGTCCTCTGTCTACGGGCTCGACCTGTCGCTAAAACGAGATACATCCAGCTCTTCTTTAAGGTTGAAAGCCCAGGAAGCCGAACCCCTTGACGTTTCCTTCAGCCATGCAGCTCCTTCGGGAAGAACTAAGCCTACCAGTCTACCCATAAGCCAAAGCAGAGGGCGGATTCCAATAGTCGCACAGAACTCAGAAGAAGAGAGTCCCTTAAGCCCAGTGGGGCAGCCCATGGGGATGGCCAGAGCAGCTGCTGGGCCGCTGCCCCCCATATCTGCAGATACCAGGGACCAGTTTGGCTCAAGCCATTCCTTGCCTGAAGTCCAGCAGCACATGAGGGAGGAGTCACGCGCTCGGGGCTACGATCGAGATATTGCCTTCTTCATGGACGACTTCCAGCACGCCATGTCAGATAGTGAAGGTAAACCAGGCTTCAGGCGGCCTTCTCCATTTCACAGCACGAGCCCAAATTTTATGCATGTGTCTGATTTCAACATCTGTTGGGAACTAGGGTGACTATTTTTTTTTAAAAAAAAAAACACCTTTCTGCATTTTTGTACATGTAAATATGTCTGGAGTGTGTAGGCATGTTCTTCTCAGCTTGCTGGCCTCACTGTACATGGGCAGACTTGCATTTTATGTCACTTTCGTTTGCATGTGCATTTTTCTTTGCTCTTTGCTGGTATTTTCAGGAACATTTTTCCCCTGGGACCAGCTTAGTGGGAGAGGTCTTCAGGGCACTATTGTTAAGGATGAGAAACCACAATATTGATTGTAACCACTTAGTCCACACAAGATCTTGATTAAACGCAATTGCACCATTACCTCCCTTATCTCTGAGCTTCCAGTGTCGCTTGCCCTGTGCCCCTGTAACATGTCAACGTCAGCTGCCCCTGGACTCCCAAGGGCTAAGAGACGGGTGGCCAATGGTGGCAGGTAGAGCTGGATCCCAGGAGGGACAAAAGCACCTGTTCATCTTAGGGCTCCCTCTTCCACAGTGAAGGGTGGCAGATCAGCTCCTTCCCCCTCTTGCTGTGCAGGCTCCTTCTGGAGGGGGCGATGCTGGACCTGCAGCCAAGAGGAAGGGGACGAGGACCTGACCGTGATAAAGAAAGCTGCTTAGCCAAGACTTGGAATGAGAAACTCCGGCAGCGGTTTTTGGGTGGAGTTCTCACTTGAGATGAAACTATAGATGAACAGGGATTCATCTGAAGATATCACTTACACGTAGACACATAACTTGGTTTGTAATTTCTTAGGCAGCAGGTAGATTATTCATCTTTAGTTCTTCTCTGTTGACCCAATAACATCTTTTCTATTTTGAAAGTCTAGAAATTTAAAATAATGAATACAAGCACTGAAGTTTACACATATATCAATGCAGATTTTAGTTGCATTACTACATGCCATTTCACTTACTCTGTAGAAGTCAGATCAACTTCTTAAAAAATGTGGGTTTTTTTTTAATCTCTGCCTACAGGCTCTTAATCTTAAAGGAGCCATATAGTACTTCACTGGCAATGTTATATCTGCATGTTATGCTTATATCCACTTTAACTGAATGCAGATAGAGCTGCTCAGCGAAGATTTGATAAAGATTCTTACAAGGCACAAGGCCCAGTTTACAATAAACATAAGTATACTAAAGAAGTATTACCAACCACATAAAAATGCCTGGCTTTTTACTGGGGAAAAATATATGGGGACCCTTTTTTATTGAAACAGATAAATACGTGATGTAGTAAAGGAGATATGAATTTTGATTTCACTGCTGCAACTTAGAAAATCTCTTTTGCCCAATTCTGTAATCTCAGAAATCCTGAAAGCCAACGCTTGATTGTGGGTGCTTTTATTTTAGCCTTATTATGAAAATTACTAAAAGGGATTGCTAGCTATTATCTCAATCTATAAGAGCAGTAAGAAAGATGATCCTGGCAATTTTAGTCTGTTAGCTTCTTCTCATTAATCAGTAAATTATATCCTGTAAATTTGATCCATGTCTTCTTTTTCTGTGGTTATTATAGAGATGTGAATTACAGTTTTTTTATTCCTAAAAGAATTATTTGTCTACTTCATTAGAGCCACATAGGTGTCAATACTGAGTACTGCTCATTTTCCAACTGCATATGTGATTCTGTGAACACATACATACATACATATATGTAATATGTACATGAATGTATATAACACATGTGTGTGTAGATGTGTATATATAGAGAGAGATTGTGTGTGTGTGAGGAAAGTAGAAATGATTGGTTGAATCTGTTTGTAGCTTGTCCCAGGATTTAAAATCGGTTGATCACCGATGTTTATATATATGTCAGCAATGTACTAAAAACAAGAAGCAAATTTTTAAAGTTACCTTAATATATACTTCCAAGCCCATTGTGGGCATGAATGCATCATTTCCATAAAATTAGCCCTGATGGTAAGTAATGCTTGAACTCTGAAAATTGACACCCAGATAGCAGATTCTCCATCTGCTATCACAGCCTCTAGCTACATTGAATGCAACTGGGACATACTGTATTCTGATATTAATGGCTATGATTGAAATGCAGGTGAAGAACAGCCTCTAAACACTTATACACATGTTTATGAAGCCACCTGTTGACAGAAACAAATACAGAAGTGTTAAATATTTAAGTAAATAAAGGCCAAAGGGATTAAGTTATTCTAATATATATACATATTTAATTAGGCACCATTCCTTTGTGTTTGCGCCTAACTTACATTGGTCCGCTTCATCTTTTGTGTGCTATTTTAGCTTTGCAATGCATGCCCAGGTATGAGCTGCTGTGTGCATGTTGACTGCGCATCCAAGATTGTTAGTCTTCTCACATCTCCTACTCAGAGCTGTGTCCTTGGTTTTCAAAGCCTACCACCTGCGTCGGGAGGAAACCGATTGGTTCGACAAACCTCGGGAGCCCCGCCTGGACAATGGGCCTGCTTTTGACAGAAGGCTGCCAGATAAGTTAGCCCACTCAAGACCCCCGAGCCAGCATCAGGACCAAGTAAGGACGCTATTTCTTTTCAATCAAGAACATTGCATATGAAAGTTGATTCTCCAGTCATTTCACAGAAAAATGGGATAGGCCTTTGCAGCTCTTTTTAATGGTTCTCATACTGACCTGCCTCTAAGAGAAATAACACCAAGGGCTTTGACTAGGAAGACCAAATTAAAACGGTTCTCATGAATAAATGCAAACCTACGTATCCAAGGATAATGTTGCAGGATCCAATCTGGGTCAGTCCCTGGGACCAGAGATTTAGTCTTCTGAGTTTTTGGACATTCACACTGAAGCCCATCCTCAGGGAGCCTCTTTCTCTCTCTCTCTCTCCTCGCACAGACGTTGCCTGAGATTGGCTCCAGCACGCTGAAAGCTCAGAAGGCTACACCTCTAGTCTTGGTGACCAACCCAGATTAAACCCTAAAATGGTTCTCTCCTACTGCTGGCAAAATACACGGACAATAATGCAAATAATTGGATTTATGCAATGCACCTAGGGCCCAAGTATTTTAATCAGAAGCAGGAATACGTTGGGGTGTCTAGAGTGGCATTGTTGGGGAAATCCAGTAATATTCCCACAACAAGCATTTCTGGATGTGCTCTAGTTCTGGGGTTGAACCAGCCCCATATCTCCTTTTCTGCTGCCCCCGAGGTCATTCTTAGAGCTTGGAACTGAATGCCCCACTAATCATAAATCACTTCCATTGGTCCCAACAGGCAACTAAACGTATTTCCTGCTAAAGGTTCACTATTCCAGAATTTCTAGATAAGGAGCTAAATTCTGTGCTACAGCAATTGAAGTTGCTATATATGAACAAGTTCACATTCTGCATGGTTAGTTTCTGTTATAAACAAGGTTTATATGCTATTCATTTTTCTTTTAGCAGATGTTTTTGTGGGGACTACAACAATCCATAAGTAAGATTAAAAAATAAAATCCTCCTTAACTTCGCTTTGATGGGCAGCATCAACAAATTACATAAACTATCCAAATATTTATTTGGAATTAGCATTTTATCAAAAGGACTTTTAATGCAGTGCTTTCAATTTGGGGCAGTTAAAAAAAATATTTCCCCCTTGTCTTATGCTCCATCTCTTTCCTGGCTTTCTCCAATGTGCAGAAAATGAGGCTGTATTTCACAAAATATGAAAACATTCATGAAACCTTTTCATTCAGAGATATCTAGAGCGGCAACATTTTTAGAAGGCCAATGTAATCTAAGCCAAGGGCTGGGAATTTGCCATTTTTATAGGAATTACCTAAGAATCGAATTGAGCATTTCTACATTGCATGCCCTAAGCAGTGAATTGAAGGAAGCGCTTCTGCAGATAAGCCTGGTTCATCAACTGCCTTGCCTGATAAATTCTCTTGTGACAGTGCTGCTTCTGCTGTCGTGCTGAAAAATGTATTCCATGGAATGGGAGACCCGTGCTATAAGGTTACTTATGTAAGCAGATAAAGACAGGCAGATTGCATAAGTGACATATTTGTGCATTAGATTTTTTACAACATTCACGAGTTGGAAAACAAGCAACATTTGGTTGGAGACAGTTGCTTTTACTCTCCTGTTTTTCTGCCTCAACTGCAGTAGCAAAACTAACAAACCTTCTACTACCAGACACGCAAAACAAACAAGTATCCCAATAAATTCCAATAAGCATAGATAAACACAAGCCAATGTGAGCCTCCATACGCCTCTCTGCAAAGTCCCCACCCATTTAAAAAAAAAAAAAAGGATTCGGAAGCATCCCTGCAAACCACAGCGGTTCCTACATTAATAGCATATTCCCCTCTTTCCAGTATCATAAACACCTAATTTCCCCTCCAATAATCCACATATACAATAAGTAAAAAACAGTTCCAGAAAGATCATACAGTTAGGATGTTGGAAATATCATTTGGACGTGCAGAGGATGGAAGAAAAGCAGAGTACAGATTCACTTTGATCTGTCCCTCTGAACAACTGTCCCCGCTCAGATTGCAGAAAAATTTCTCAGTTGTCTCCTGAAAGGCCTTTTTGAGACCAAACCTTGTTTTAGTTTCATTCAATAAGCAATTTATCAGTAACAACCAAAAGCCATAAAGAGATCAGAAAATTGGAAGTATTTTCCTCAAAGGGAACTCAGCCATTGGTGTCCTCCAGGGGACATCAATTGACCATCCAGGGGAAGTGATTTATTCATTGACACCTGTCAGGAAGTTTATGTCAATTTTTTACTCTGAACTCTGTCAGATCCACTGTACAGCTAAAAGAGGAACTGTGACAAACTTGATCAATATTATTCCCCAAACTTCTCCCACGGTTGGTGCCAATAAACATCCAGCCATGTAGACCCTGCTGTTACAAAAATACAACCTATTGATCCTTGAAACAGTAATTGTCAAGCCCAAGGATAAGGTCCCTATGCCATTTACAATCCAAAAAGGATTTATTGCTGATGACTATACACAAGAATCCAATCAATTAAAGTTCAGTACTAAATTGGTACCAGATAAGGGTCCACGAAATTCAAGAGGGCTGACTTGGACCGTTTGTGGCAACTTAACTACTGATGACACATTTAACTCTGCCCCTCCCGGCTCTGCCTGCTTTTCTCTTACAGTAATAATAAGAATAAAAATGCCAAATCCAGTCTAAACACCTGACTGACTTTGCGATGAACCATAAGTTATTACTTGTGTGCCATCCAATGCTCAGAGATTCTGATCCAACATATAGGCAGCATTTTAGTTTTCCTTGTATTTTCCAGAATTTAATGCATTCGATTTATTTGAGCAATCTGCCACAGACCATAGCATTCCTATGGAATTAGCTTTTTATGAGAGTATTTTAATTGCGTTGGAAGATTTATTGATGTCCAATGCAGTTTTCAAAGCTATAGTATTATAAGACAATATTTAAACTGTCCATTTTGGCTGCTATATGTTATACCAACTGAAATTTTTATGTGATCTTCAAGGGCACAAAATGTAAATTAAATTAGAGTAATCCAAAGGGAGGCTGACAGGATATCAGTTACTAGTAACCATGTGCCTAACTTCAGAAAAGGCTGCTGTAGGCATTCCGGTTGGTCGTGCCATTTTATTTTATTTTATTTTTTGTTATTTTATTTTTGTATTCACTACGCAATTCATTCCATGTAACCCAGGGTGGCTTCTCCCTGAATTCTGGCAGGGAGGATCCCAAAAATGGGTCCTCATCCCAGGACCGAGGGGGCTTCGTGACGAATGCCCCTCCACACACCTTCTCCCCCCACATTCAACCCAGGCTGGATCTGGACGGATGCTATGCTGCAGTGATGCCTTGGAGCCTCAGACAGGCGTTAACCCAGCAGCGCAGGAGCAAAGGTCAGGCTGGAGGGCACCTCCCAACACAAGGCCAGAGCAGCCAGAATCTAGTGGAGAGAGGGAAGCCCTACCACCTCTGGGTCTGGTAGACAGACACAGGTAATCCAGTGGCCAGCCGGAGCAAAAACCGGATCTCCGGCAAGACAGGCCAGCCAAGTCCCCATCGCAGCCCATCCACAGAGCCACCCAAGGTCCAAGATTTGGGTCCAGAGCCCAGGTCTGTGTCCTGATTGCCCTGAGTTCAGGTCATCTGCC